ATCAAAGGGGCTTACAGTTCCTCTCAGGAAGGGGAATAAGATTATGTCCACAAACAGCTATGTAAAATATATGATGAGGTGTATGATAGATGCCATAAGAGAAATACAGATGAAGTCTTACTGAAGTTCAGAGGCTGGAGATAACACGTTTGTTTGGGAAATCAGAAAAGGATTTATTGTGGTATTTAAGGAAATATTACAATGAACATCATTATTGGTACCATTTTACTAATGTGGAAACAAAAGCTTAAATAAGTGTGACTTGCTTAGGTTTTCTGACTAAATGTGTCACTCTCTATCTTTTCTGACAGTTATTCTGGGGGTAATTTTGACAAGTTTTGATAACCTATATTGGATTTGGGGTTAAAAGAAGAAAAGTCACATATGACTTAAGCTTTTCAGTTTGAGTTACAGGGAACATGGTAGCCCAATTAAAAGGAGTAAGAAGTAGGGGAGAGGAGAAGCTGGTTTTGGAAACGGGGAGACTGAGATCTGTTTGAACCAGTAGCCTTTGAGGCACATGGCAGCGAAGATGCCCAACAGGCAGTTAAAAAGTGACTTGAGGAAGGTCACATTTGTGATAAGGATATAGGAGTTATTCCTCTTAAAGTTATCTTTGTAGCTGCGGGAATGAGTGAGATCACTGAGGGGTAATGGAAGGGGTTGAGGTCAGAACCTAAAATGCCTACTCTAAAGGAACAGAAGGAAGGAACCACTTTCACAGGTAGAGGAGCGGTCAGAGAGGGATGTGAACACAGACTAACTGAAGCAAATAGAGAAAGGGGGTGGTCAACCATCTCAAATGGCCAAAGGGCCAAGGAGGATGAGGTTTGAAAATAGAGTTTGACCATTAAGAAAGCAATGGTGATGTTTGAGAGAGCAGTTGTGGTATACATATGGAGGCAAAATCCAGATGCAAAAAGTTAATGGGTGACTGGATCACAAAGTGGAGGAAATAAGTGAGGATTACTCTCCTAAAAAGGATATTGGTCAAAGGAGGAGAGGTGGGATAGTAGCACAGAATCTTGGAGATCTGAGAGATTCATAGGGAAATAACTAGTAGTAAGGAAAAGTTATGATGCAGCAGAGAAAGGGAAGAAAGGGGACACAATTCTGGAAGAGTCGAGTGGATAGGATTCCAGGTGCAGACAGAGAAGTGACTTCCAGATAAAAGAGGGGTCTGTTATTCCATAACGAGTGGAACGAACAGAAACTGAAGAGATTTTTGAGATGGGGAGGAAAATGGAGGAATCTCATTGGACAGATTATATTGGTTTTCTCAGTAAGTAGAAGGTGAATGAACGAACATGAGCATGGGGCTTTGAGGAAAAAAAAATATTTGTTAACAGTAGTTATAGAGAACTTGGTGAATACAAGTATGACCATGAATGTCGGAGGGCCTCTTAAAGTTGGATAACTTGAATTCGTACTGAGCCACATCAGCAAATCTTTTTAAAAAAATGTTCTCCAACAAGTTTTCATGGCCTGGAAACAGTAAAGTGGATGCTGGGGAATATGTACTTTGTTAGATGTGAGAACTACTCCCAGAGGTTCTAAAAGTAACAATTAAATTATAAAATCAGCCATCTTTGAAAACACCTGTTAAATTTTAGGGTGGGTCTGGCACCAATTCCAATGTACAGGTAGAAAAATAAAATAAGCTACCAAATAGTGAAACTGTTTAGCAACTCATTTGTTAGAAATCTAAAACTTTTGATTAATTTTGCTGACCTGTTTTATGCAGAGTGATCTATTCATATTAATATTTGGTTTTACTTTCTTATAGATTTGGGGAAAATAATAGTTCCCTAAATTTAGAAGTTTTTCTTTCAGTAGATCATCTAAAATATGTCCAACACACAGTTTAGGGAGAATTAATACTCTTAGCACCTAAGTCCTTTTTCTTCTTAAAAAATAATGGTTCAGCATTTAGAGTGAATTTTAGTTCATAGAAAAGAAAATTTCATGCTTTTGTTAAATTTTTTTCCCCTATTAGAAGATGCTTATATCCTTATATAAAAGTTCATATCGTCCCTTCTCATCCAATCATCTGTTCATTCACTATGGGGTATTTAAGATGGATAAAGTTCCTGTCATCAACAAGCTTACTTTTGTGTATTTTTAAACTCGATATCCTAGAAAAGTTCTAACAAGATTCTCATAAATTATTTTAAAACCAGTATTGATTTTAAATATTATATTACTGTATTATTCAAAACCAATGCCTTTTATATATTTACATGACAGATTAAAGGTACTTTAACATACATATTTTGCTTGGCATAAAGTACCCTGCATTACTATCCTTATGATAAAGGAACTGAGCCTCAGGGAAGGTAAATGACTTACCTAACTTTCCACAGCACGTAGGTGATAGAGGCAGAACTGAATATAGGTTTTATTAACCCAGAAATTTTTTTTATTATACCTATTTCCATTAATTTTAGTAGTCAAATCCAATAGATTCATAGTAGTTCAAATCCAATCTACTTTGTATTTCTCACCTGTTGACCTCCCTGAAGCATTTATACCTTCACTCACCTTCTTATTGCTTCTTAAAAACTTCTCTTCTCTTGACTGTATGACATTTTTCTCTTATGATTCTCATATGTCTGAAGATTTGTAGTTCTGTCTTTGATCTTCATTTGCCTTTTCAGCAATTGCATGGTTTTAACTAGAACTTCTAAACATATGATTCTGAAATCTAGAACAATAGCCATGAAATCCCCACTTAGTTCCAGACATGTGTTTTCAACTGTGTGCTGTAAAAGAGTTCTTTTGCTAGTTATTTGCCATAAGTTAATACATGTTTAAGGGATTACTATGCACTATATACTTTGCTAAGTGTTATGAGGAATAAAAACATGAATCTGACCTAGATTCTTACCAGGAGCACAGAAAACTCCATGTGTCTCCACTTTTACTGTTTTAGTTTTTGAGCCCATTTACCATATAGTAGATTCCTCAGGTTCAAGACCTCGGAGTCTTCTTTGAAAAGTGCTGTCCTTGATTTAGGATAATTTTCTAACTGGTCTCCTCACCTGTATTCTTTCCATTCCCCAATTAATCTTCTTGAAGTAGACCTATGTTCAAATCACAGCCCCGTTTAAAAGCATTCAAAGGCATCTCACTGCTTGCAGAACCAAGCTCCATCTGCCAAGTATGACCCCTACATATAACTTTACACTTTTCCAACCTTGGTGTCTTGACTTTGTTTCTGTCACTTCAAATACCATTTTCTTTCACCTCCTTATATTTAAAGCCCACCTTTACCTTCTCTTAAATGCTACCTGATCCAAGTAACCTACCCAAGCACTGCCAATGGAACTTGGTTTTTCTTCTTCTGAATTCCATCCCATAAGTTATTTCTCTGTACTTTTTATTGGCCCTTGCCTCTTTCTCCCTTGTATTATAGGTATTTGTGTTCATATATCATCTAGACTAGGGATTAGCAAACTTTTCCTGTAAAGGGCAATATAGTAAATATTTTAGGCTTTGTTGGCCACATGGGGTCTTGGTCTTCTTTCTTTTTACTTATAGTCCTTTAGAAATATAGGGTCTTGGTCTTCCTTCTTTTTACTTACAATCCTTTAAAAATATAAATACCATTCTTAGCTTGAGAATATTACAAGTATAGGCTGCTGGCTACAGTTTGAACCCTGATCAATATTCAGTGCTCCTAGTAATAATCTAACTTTGCTTCATGCCTTATAATACTTAGCAAAGTGTATTGTGCATAGTAAGCTCTTAAACATGTTACATGAATGTAAACATGTGTTACATGTATTACCAAAGAGGCTTTTTTTTACAAAAACAAACACAAAATAGTTTCTAGGGGAATTTTTAAATATATATCCATCTTTAGATTTGGTAATTCATCAGCTAGTCAAAATGAATCACTTATATGTTTGTTTTACCAAAGTATCCCAGGAACATTAAGTTAAAGCACCCTTTATCCAAACTTGAATACAAGAAGTGTATACTTTGGGTTCAAGAGTGTCTTGCTTTCTCAACAACCAGTGTTTTAGTCCAGTTCTAACAGTTTTTACAATAGTAGACTACAAAAATGCTATCATATTTTGTTGGTTTTGAAATGGTCCTAAGCACATTAACTGGTAATAGGTTTAGCCAATCCCCTTCTCTACTGTTCCCTTGCATTACAAAAATAAATGAATGCAATTTTTGGTTTGTAACAAAATAACCCTCACTCTCCCTATACAAGTGAAAAGTCATATGAAAACCAAAAGAAAGGAGAGGAGTATAATACACAGTACATTTATTTTGGACTCCTGGTCTGATTCTTATTAACCCTTCCTGGTTTCTTTCAGATCTTGGATATGTCACCACCCATTATTACATTGGTGACAACTTCTAAGCACTTAGATAATCCTACATCAATTTAGTTGATTATATGGAGATACAGTGGCTCTTAAAGCCTCTACTCTGTTCTCAGTATTCAAAACATACTTTGTACTGAGAGCCTTAGCTTTGATTGTAATCACAAGTAGGAATTGTACACTTCAAGGGAACCCAAATTGAGTTCCAAGAAAAAAAATTTTTAATACAGTTCTACCTACTTTATGGCTCAGTGGTGCTGAATTATGTTTATTTTGCATTTCTCTAATAATACTTTGGCATAGAAAGTAACTTGCCAGTGAACGCAGTTTAGATGAGGTTGACCTCATGCCTGTCTACCTCAGAGGAAACTTATCTTGCCTTAGGAACAAAAAAAAAATCTTTACCACTCTTCCAATTTCCCCAAAACACTGTTAGGCTTAGTAAAATGTAGTGGGAGATACATTTTGCTCTGTTTGAGAAAATGGACTATTTTTATTACTATATCCTTATATCTCTCAGAACCTTTTTGGGATGTCATTCCACTTTCCTCCTAAAGTCTGCCACTACCTCAGATTTTATTGGAGAATGCATATTTGCTTAAGTTCAGATTCCTCTGAAAAGGTAACTTTCAAAGCAAAACACAGTCTTTACTGTCTTTATAGGAACCACTGTCACCATTCCTAAGAGGAGGCCATTTCTTTCCAGGAAATAATGTCATTTATGAAAAAACCATAAGAAAAGTGGAGAAGCTAAATACGGATCCGGTAAGTGAAATTTGTTTTAAGGCTTATTTTATGTGTATACTTTTGAATTATGAATATTTTAATAGAGCTAAAATGACCTTCAATTGTCAAGTGCCAGGCAAGCTCGCTATATAATGATACCTCATTATATCTACAGCCCTTTGTATCATCCTTAACACTTTCATTTCCATTTCCTCATTTGAAGTATTGTCCGCATTTTACTGAAAGGGAAACTAAAATAAAGATATGTCCAGTCACGGGGAAAATTAAGAATCTGAACTTAATATAGATATCTCAATGCTTTGTATGTTTCTTTTAAACGAGGCTCACAAAAATCATAAAACATTGCAATTTTATCTTAATTCATTTAATATGAAGTGAATTTTTAAATGAACACTATCTATGAACAGATCTGTAAAATACTGTATACTGTAAAAGGTCTAGAAAGCTAAAGCTTGAAGTCAGTTTTTGAAATTCCATTAAGCTAAATTGAGAGACCAAGTACAGAGTACAAAACTGCAGCAGGGTGATGGTAATTCCATGGCATCTAGAGCTCCTCTCTCCCCCTGCCCTTCCGTCCTTTAAGCAGAGTTGTTACTGTAACCAGAAGAGGTTTCACATTGATCTCCTCAGTGGGTACAAGCATTCGCAGCCCAGACAAATCCTGGGATTTATCTCTTGAACTAGGACAGTGTATTAGCTTCTTAGGGCTGTGGTAACAAAGTATCACAATCTGGGTGGCTTGAAACAACAGAGATTTATTGTCTCACAGTTCTGGAGGCCAGGACTATGAAATTACCATGTTTAAAGGGCGATGCCCCCTCTTGAGCCTCTATAGAAGGAACTCTTCCCTGCCTATCTCCTAGTTTCTGGTGGCCTCATGTGTTCCTCAGGTTGTAGGTGCGTAATTTTAATTCTCTAGTGTCACATAGCACCCTCCCTCTGTGTCTTCACCTGGTCTTCCCTCTGTGCATGTTTGTCTCTGTGTCAAATTTCCTCTTTTTATGAGGACACCAGTCATGTTTGATTAGGACCCATCCTGTTGGCCTCATTTTAACTTGATTACCTCTGTAAAGACCCTGTTTCCAAATAAGTTCACATTCCGAAGTACTGGGAGTTAGGACTTCAATGAATCTTTTTTTGGGAGGCACAATTCAACCCAAAACAGGCAGTTAAATATTATCAAATGAATTTTGATCACAAAATCATTTTTCTCATATACAACTGAAACATTAAAATATACTAAATTCTCTTTTTTTCATTTTTCTTGGCATGAGAACATGTCTTATTTTTATGAGCATTTATGGGCAGTTGTTACCCAATTCATAGGAACTAATACATCATTACTCATTTGATACCCAATAAAAATGAAAAAGAGTAAACTCTCAGGATCATAAATATCCAAATCTTTAAGATTCTAGTCTGCTTGGAAAACTGTATATAGTCTGAAGGGTTTAGTAGAGTACATATTAAATATATATTTTCCAAAAGAACTGCAGAATATTTCTGGACATTATGATACCAAATAGAAAAATTTCTCAAAATATTTTAGTTCTTCAAAAGGCATTTTCCTCAAGCTACCAGATTATAACATCTGTCCTTTATCTAACTGGACAGCCAAAACAATGTCTGACACACTTTAAATAGGAAGGAATGTTTGAGACACATCATTTCATGCTGCTTCCAACTTCTTGTTTCAAAGAGAATAAACAGCTTTTCTAAATCTTGGCCCTAGAAGAAAATATTGAATATCCTATACATTATTATTGCTATGCATCTGGAACAATTAAAGAAGAATTCCTTTAATAGAACATTGCTGCTACTTACTGTTAACTAGAATATTTACTTTTACATGTCCACTTTTCTTATTAATGACTTAAATGATTTGGGAGTTTTGGAACTGCCATGGGAGGCTGCCCAAGGTAAAAGGAAACATGCATACAACTGCTTTGACCTAGCTGAGTTTCCTCAGTGACAGAAATACAGTGGGATGAGCTGGATAAAGCCAGAGTCTGGATGAACCTGTTTAATGTCATATGAGACTAATCCAAATGGGACTAGCTCTTAGGAGATGGGACCTGTCCAAAAAAAGAGGTATTTATAGTAGAAGGGTGGTAAAGTGGTGTCAGTTTCAAGATAATTATCCAATTCATATAAATTGTACTCTGTGTATATTTTTCTTGAGCAAAAAAGATAAGATATATGGTAAATCAGAAATGTTTGATCTTTTGTACATTAAAAACTCAGCTTGTGGTATACTTCAAAAGTATGAGAAATGTATGAATATCTTGCTTTGGAACAATAATTTTAGTAGTCAGGTGTGAGGAATGGAAACTGAAAACCTGCTAAGACTTTAGTGGTACCAATGAGTGGTTCAGATGCCAAATAGGCTCAAGAAAACCACAAGACATCCCAGATGGAGAAACTGTCAGCATTCTATTCAACTGATGCGTTAATAAAGAAAGATGATTGAGAAATGGGTTTTGTTTTATTTATTGTCCTTTCAAGTTTTTTCCTAATCTGCTTTTTAAGGGACACATTTATTTTTTCAGGAGGAATTCTACTTCAGTAGTGTACAAGCTCCCCACTGGTGAAAGCGTTCTCTGACTATCACTCTGACTTTATCCTAATCTAGTGTATGAAGGTATTTTGTAACATAAAAGAACAGATGATACATTCACCCCCAAAATTTGTACAAAAGTTACTGATAGTACACAGTCAGGCTCCTAAACTGTAGAGCTCTTACTTAGTGCTAGCATATTTGTAAAGTAGGTCATATTTGAAAAGAGCCTAGAGAAAATAATTCTATGAACTGATTCTATGACCTTTATTATCTATATGTCTACCAAGGCAGTGTCTACTTGTAAAATGTGTTTCTTTATATATATATTTTTTTCTTTCAAAAAATTTTTGTATACATGAAAAGATATTTGTATACATGGTAAAAAATTTCAAAGCATAAAAAGTATAAAAAGGTACAAAAAGAGTGTGAAAAGAGAATTAAAATGTATATAGTGAAAAAACAGCTTCTTTATCTTGATCCTCTTGTCCCTCAGTTCTTCCTCCCAGAGGCAGTTACTCTTAAAATGTTTTTTGCTCTATTAATGCATTTAAAAGCAGCTGTATATATTTGTAAATACACATGTATGTACATTAAAAATATTATACAAAAGGAGCATATTATATTCATCCTTATGCATCTTGCTTTCTTCATTTAATATAGCTTGAAAATTGTTCCATATAAAACTTAAAATTTGAAGTGCCTTACTTTATTAATATAGGTCACCTTTCCAACAGTCAAAAGGAAATAGAGCATTGAATTTATACTTTCAAAGTTAATTGTACGTGCATGAATGTAGCATTATGATTCAAATAGAGTATGTTTTTCTTTGAAAACTGGCTTTCGGGTGCCTGCTTTCAAAGTAGGATAATAACAAAATAATATAGAAAATTCAAGCATACCTGAAATCCCCCAAACTATAACCAGATATCTATTTTTATTCTGTGCTCTACACTTACCAGAAAAAAGCCATGGTAAATAAGCAAGCAGATAGCAAAGATTTAGTTTGAAAAGAAGTTCCAAAATATTTTGAAGACAGTACAAATTCAGTTTAATGTTCTGACAGAACTCTGAGCAAGAAATCATGAGTTCCAGTCCCAATTTTGCCATTAATTATTTGTGTCATTATAAGTAAATCATCTTACTTCTCTGGACCTCATGGTTATTTTTTTTTCACCTACAGAATTAATGGGGTGGATGATTATTAAGTTGATGATGATGATGACAATGATAATATATGATAATAATAATAATAAATGTTAATTACCCACCTACTTTGTACTAAGCACTTAACAAACATTAGTTAATTTACTCCTCATAGCAACCCAGTGAGGTACATACTATCTCCACTTTTACACATGAGGAAACTGAAGCTTATAAAGGTTGCATATACAGTTTCTCAAGATCACAGAGTAAGTGGTAGAATCAGAGTTAAAATCCATGTTTTCTGAATCTGAAGGCTTAGTCACTGTTTTCCAATCTTTTTAAATTTATGCTTGATTTTCACAAGCGTAAGAACTTCACCTGCCCCCACTGTGTTTCTAATATGCTTCCTGACATTGAAAATCACTACATTATATTATTTTCTAATTTATATCCATCAACATCTTCAGTATTATTTTGTAATTAGATCCTGAAGTGCCTGTTGAATCATCAAAGAAATATTAATATTAATATTCATTTTAGTTTTAGTGTTAAGTATAACTGTAATATTAATTTAATCAGAACATGCAATTCTCTAGCCAACTTAGGTAAGTATTTGGATGTTTACAGCCACCTGGTCAAATAAAAATAGAGTTCAATACAATTTTTCGCAATGGAATAATTGGAAAAAAAATATATCACTTATTAAAACTATAAATCCTAGGGCTTGAATTATCTTGTGAAAGAACACATTAAATTTTTTAAAGTGGATTCAGTTGGCTTTTCTTTTATTAGTTATTTTTATTCTGAGTGACTGTTTTTGGCATGTGCATGTATTTTAGGAATGCTATCCTCAGGTTCAGTGCCATCATCACATTGTCTAACAGCCCCAGATCTTCCACTCTCTACACTATCAACAATCCCATTCTAGCCAGCAAATCCAAACCATCACAGGAAGTGATTCAATTTCTACAAACACTGGAATTGAACTGTATCATAGTGACTCAAACCATACACATGAGCAGGTAAGATTAATGAGCTGATTCCTTGTAAAACTGAAATAATCTCTTAAACACTGCTCACACCACTGTATAGGTACCCACATTATTTTTTCATCAAAATATTGAGGAGTTATACCATGAAGATTCATGTTTTATTATGGCATTTTTATATATTTATTTTTTAACATCTTTATTGGAGTATAATTGCTCTACAGTGTAGTGTTAGTTTCTGCTGTATAAAAAGTGAATCAGCTATATGCATACATATAACCCCATATCCCCTCTCTCTTGCGTCTCCCTCCCACCCCTCTAGGTGG